ATATAAAATATACATATATATAAAATATACATATATATAAAATATACATATATATAAAATATACATATATATACATCGGTTCCGAAGGTGATAAATGGTGCTTGGGTGGACTCCAAAAACCTGGGACACTTGTTCCACCTACTCACCGGCCGCCAGTCGTCCGACAGCTCTTTCTCTGTTTTCCCTTGGTATGTCTGTAGCTCGTCTGTTTCGATATGAATTCAACATTTCGAGGCGTGGATTTTATAGGCATACGCCCAGGACTGAGTGAGCATAAACTCAGCATTCACAACAAGTTGCAAGTGTGTCCCAGTGGTGAGTGATGACCCGTGAGTTGTGTATTGCTTACGCAGCCAATGACATCTTTGCCACGCTCAAAAAAGCCCAATCAAGACGCCCGAGGCAAATATTGAGTGATATGAGTTCATATCACTCAACTATGAATTTAGCATTGGGCGATTACAACAACTTTTAAAAATCGCGGTTTTTTGTGTGTTTTTTTGCGTTGTATATATCTATTATCTATTTGTGGTGGCCGAATGTTGCTATTCAAAAGGCTTTTTAATGGCTACAACGATCGACATGCGGTTTTCGCCAAAAGATTCTTTAAAATATTCTCCAGATCTTGACTCGCCTTGTTTTTTCAGTTTTGAGACAGTTTTGCTGCAAGAAGCTAAATTTCTTTTATTTCTCCGATCGCTTTTGTAGGCCGACGCTTTTGTTTCTGTAATTTTAGAAAGTCCGCCAGGTTTGTTTATTTCAAGTCGTACTTCCGTTCGATACTATATTCTGTCGCGCATTGTCGTGTAATACTGAGCACTATTTTAAGTGTGCGACCCGTATAGATCTAGCCTTCTGTTTTCTTTTTTTACTTGGTGCTAAATTGGACTGGGTCCTTTCGTTCGATGCATAATCATCGCTTTTTCTGGACTCCTTTTTTAGATTCTTTTTCTTGCTACTGGGAACAATCAACACCCTTCTTTACAACCACGAAAGCGGGATAGAGTGGCGTCGGTGGCCTAGTGGTTAGGCTCTCGGACTCGCAACCGTAAGGTCGTGGGTTCGAATCCCGTCAAGGGCCCGACGTTATGTCCTTGGGAAAGGC